GGTTGAGTCCCCAACACCTCAAAGTATGCCCTCATGGAGCTGATCCAAGATTCGATGTCTTCTTTGCCGTCGTACATAGACCGCCTTTCGGTCCACATAGAGACCAACGCGGTTGGGACCAGCACCTGCTGGTTCCAATCTTGGGGCTGCACCATTTGCAGAATTTCCAGCCTCGTTGCTTGTCACAGCAACAGCGGAATCTGCACCTGTTGCAGGTCCCGAGGGGGTTGCCAACACATTCAAGGAAGAAGATACAGTGAGAGAGGCAGAGGTAGTTTCAATTGCAGTTTCAGATCCAGGGGGGAGAGGAAGAGGGTTGGCCACTTGGGCTTGTTGCAGCTCAACCACCTCCTTTGTCAATTCATGGTACATGTGGGTCAGATCAGTCAAGTGTTCACAACATTGCGAAGACTTCAGCGATCTGAGTGGTATGATCCTCAAGATTCCTGACTTGAACAAGGGCGGTGAGTATAGATTGCAACTGCTCCCCGCATTGCTCTTCACTCAGTGAGGGAACAGTCTCTAGGATGGCCACCTGCCTTTTCGACAATGTCTCCTTCCTCTCCTTCTTTGCCTCCTGTTCCCTTTTGGTTGCACTATCTAGGAGTGCTTGTAGATATGGTTTTGGGGCATCACTGGCTCCATTTAACAAGGTCCGCCATTGCACTGAAGTTAGCTGAGCCATTTTTGGACCGTTAGTATTGACAGGTGGGTCAGAGAGTCGCCAGTCAGCAAAAAAATCAATTAGACTCTCAAGAGGTTCACTCTCCCTCTCACTTGGACGAACACTCCTTTTCCCAGTCCTTGCCCACTTCAAACGGTCACTTTCCCTCTCTCCCTTTTCTCTCTCCCTCCTCTCTCTCTCTTCTTTCTGGTTGCGAGTCTCCACGGGCATCCGAAATGAACTCAGAGAAACAGACTGAAAAGCTCAGAGAAGAGAAGGTAGAAATCCTAGCCGGAGCGGCATTTCATTTGGACGTAGAGAGCAACAAACCAAAGAAAAAACACAAGTTCAAATGAGAGCTCTGATCTAGCGACCTAGTCTGATCAGATTGCATACGAGGTCCTCTTGAGTCCAGTCAGAGCAGCAAACCAAAGAAAAAACACAAGTTCAAATGAGAGCTCTGATCCAGCGACCTAGTCTGATCAGACTGCATACGAGGTCCTCTTGAGTCCAGTCCGACCAGCTCCGTGACCGTACAGCAAATCAGACAACGAGTGACTAAATGCAACAATGGAGAATTGAGTGGTGTACAGAGTGCGAGTCAAGCCACAGGCAGTGCAATCCAAAAGACGTGCGAAACGTCTCAGCCAAGATCCCCTCGGTAGTGGGTGTCCTAGTCCAAGAAGAATGAACTCCGTATCCCATCCAAGAAGACAAAAGGTCAATGCCTAACCGATTTGGGTCCAGAGGCTCTTCTTGTTTGGGCCCGGTACCGCTGGGTCCCAGGGATTCCACGTAGGTCGCAACCAGGTCCCAACCAAGAGGAGTCCCACATAGACTTAGTTTAGTCTCTACTGCACTGAAAAACAAAATTTTAACTTTTGGTAGAACCTACAGACTACAACCGTCCAGAGATGAAAAGACAAAGCACTGTAGAAAGACTCGGCATTTAGGTCAAGATACTTCATTTTCCATCCATCAGGTGAGTAGGTAGATCACATGCATTCAGTCACATAATCAAGACCACAGAGGAGTAGGAAAAGAAATCCAGAGTACCCTAGCAGGACAATCATTACCATACACACATACATGGGCATTCCGTAGGTGCACGACACTTACCTGAGTGGCCTTGAGCTTCGAGATGAATAGAACTCACCCCCCTCTCATGTGGTCCTCCTGACCCCTCTAACGCTACCCCTACACTAGTGTCCTATCTCCTAGGAGGGTCTGACTCCAACACCAAAGTGCAACGCCGGATCCCCCGTCGATGCTGAAGAACAAAGTAGCAACTTGCAGTCCGTAGATGCTGAGTGGCCGCTGACCCTCAAGCTCGCCTACTTGAGGGCAACCCTTAAGTTGCCAAGNACAAAGTAGCAACTTGCAGTCCGTAGATGCTGAGTGGCCGCTGACCCTCAAGCTCGCCTACTTGAGGGCAACCCTTAAGTTGCCAAGTGTCTCCCTTGAATCAGATTCCAGGTGCGAGTGCCTCTCACCGTCGCCTCTCTCAAATCGCCGCATGAAGTCTCCTCGAAATGTCTCGCCACCCTAATCTCACTCTCAAGCAACCTGGTTAGGTTCTATGTCGACCCCACATGACCTAACCAGGTCGGGGCAGCTTCCCTTAGCCACGCTGCCCCACTTCCCTCAACCAACCAACCCTAACCCTAAGTGTTGCCCTCAACCACTTAGGGTTAGGGCAGCAAAGTCAACTCTCACCAGCAAGTAGAATCCGCTCTGATAACAATGTTATGACCCTGGCCAATTTCGAGATACACATCCACCGGAAAGCACAATGCTATCCAATTGCAGAAATAGATGAATGAACTTGAGAGGAGAGAGGGAGGATTATAAGAAGAAGAAGAAGTAAGAAAGAAGAAAAAGAAGAAGTACACCAGCAAAGACAATGACAAGGCTCTTCTTCTTCGCCCAACAATCTCCTCCTCCTTATCTCCCCCTTCTCTTATTCATACAAGAAATAATAATACAATGTTGAATGACTGATCCAGAATCAATGTTCGAGTCCCTCTTCTACTGCAGCCATGGCCGCCTCCCCACTCTTCACTCTCATAGGCTGAGGCTATGGCGGACTACTAGGCCTTGCCCAGATGCCCAAAGGACAACCCAAAGCAGCTATGGCTGCTCTAGCTCAGGTCGCCATGCCCAACCCTGCCTTGAAGCTTCTTGGTGTGGCTTCCCCCAGTTGGGGACCCCTTGCTGCAGCGCCCACCAAGGTGATGAAGATGGCCGCCACCATAGCCAGGTAAGTGCCCCTGGCGCTTCTCCCCCTTCCTTCCTTCTTCCTCCCTCATGTCCTTCTCCTTCCTCCCCACAGCGCTGCTCCAGCATAGCGCTGCTCCAGCCAGCACTCCACGAGTGTGTCGCCAAACTTGCACACCGAAAAAGAGGCCGGACTCTCCGCCCGGCCAGAAGATATATCGGCCTGCTTTGCCTCTTGGGCGGTGACTTCCAGGCCGCTCAGCCTCCCAAGCAACCGGTACCTCCTCCCTTTCAGAGGGAAACATCATTGCAGCCTCTGATATTGCCCGTACAGGCCCTAGACCCAGACTGGTTGGACTGATATCCGCCTAGACCTAACCTACAACTACTGGGCCTCTAAAAATGCTACTTTTGTCTTCTTCTGCTCGGCCTCCGGTATCTACCCCTTCCAGGTGCGGTACCGGCCTACCCGCTACTTGAGTGTTTCCCCCCGCTGCACCCCCTAAATGTCACGGCCACAGGTAAGAACCGGCCCTGAGGGCCCAACGAACGAGCAAGTGCCCTGACGGGCCACACACATACTCATGCCAACCAGCACTCAGACAGGCACGGTCACACGTACACCCAGGCCAACCAACACTCAGACAGGCATGGTCACACACACACACAAGCCATCCATCACTCAGACAGACATGCAGTCCTGCAAGCGTGCACACACAGACTTAGTAGCAAGCGGGAAAAAAACTCAGCAGGGCATTCAGTCTATGGGCAAAACTCAGAAATCAGCTGTGTGTTTCAGTCCATGTATGGACGGGTCATCACAGGTCTTCGTACCCATAAGTGTCCCTCCCTTTTAAAAAGGGTAAGTACACAGAAAAAGAATATATTGGGGCCTCGTCGTACTGCTCATTGGTTTAATTCTCCTTTCCAAAAAGTACCCTGCAAGCAATTAGCAGGGTTTCCATAACCTCTGGAAGGATGTGCATTGGACTGCTGGACGACCACGAGTAGGCCAGCAATATATCCCGGATTCGGATTCAGGTCTGTGTTCCAAGAGTTATGGGTTACAAACTTACCACAAACACTCCAGTAGTTCTCGTTTTTTTTTGCCCCCTTTTCTTACGTGCAGTGGCCCTAAGGGCCTCGCTCCACTCATCAGCACTTGCAGAAAAAAAAAACGGATGGCTTGTATGGTTCCAGTTTCTAGGAGAAGATTCATTTGCACATACAGTAGCTGTCTCGTTTTTTAGTTTTTCCTTTTCTTACTTGCGTGCAGTGATTCATTCTAGTTTTGCACATTTGGCGAGTAGTGGAGTGAAGCCCTCAAAATCACATGCCGAGTTAGCAAGTCAGTAACCCATAACTGCTGAAACACGGACCTGAAATCGAAGCTACACCATATGTAGCTGGCGTACTCCCTCCTTACTACGAGTCCTGTGACGCCCCTTCGAATGACCACCCCGTTCCTGCCGAAGGGACCCTTGCCAATTTTTGGCAGGGACCTTTTGAAGTACCGGCAGGGGTTGTCTGAATAATGTGAAAGGGCTCTGTGCTCTCTCTCTCTCTCTCTCTCTCTCTCTCTCTCTCTCTCTCTCTCTCTCTCTCTCTCTCTCTCTCTCTCTCTCTCTCTCTCTCTCTCTCTCTCTCCAGCGTGTATACACACATCACGTTTTTTTGTGTTTTTTTTTTGCGCGCGCGTTCGCACCTGGGATTGGCGCACTGCGCACCGCACACATACTGCCCAGCGCAGTTCACCTACGCGCCTCAAGTATGGTTCTAAGGCTTTGTATTAGATTGTTGCGTGAGTTAGAATGTAGATCTTATTCTTTCGAAAAACTACATAGACATATGTGCATTCAGCTGCCAGTTTCCAACTCAAGCTTGAAGCAGATGTCCAGCTTTGTTGCTTACCCTGTTGCAGAAAGGTGGAAAGAGTAGGGAGGGGTTAAAGAATGGTCATTGATAAGGATTGATGATATGTTTAGCTTTAGCTGCGGTAGAATCTGCCATTGCTATTCTTGTTATTACTGGACGTTTTTGGCGCTATTTGTTGGGGAGTACGTGTGTGTTTTCACTTGTGTTAGTTTGTCCCGGGTGCTGCTTGTGGCCGCTGGCACAGGTTGACCTTGCAGGAAGTGAGCGGCAAAGCAAGACAGGGGCAACGGGGGAGCGTTTCAAGGAGCTTACCAATATCAACTGGTCCCTTTCAGCACTTGGAAATGTTATTTCGGCATTGGTGGATGGAAAGACTGGTCATATCCCCTACAGGGACTCTAAACTAACACGGTTGCTGCAAGATTCTCTTGGAGGAAACACAAGGACAGTTATGGTGGCAAATGTGGGGCCAGCGGACTATAATTTTGATGAGACGATCAGCACTTTGCGGTATGCAAACCGTGCAAAGAATATTAAGAACAAGCCAAGGATCAACGAAGACCCGAAGGATGCGATGTTGCGTGAGTTTCAGGAGGAGATTGCAAGGTAACACTGGGATCTTAAATTTTCTAATACTTTGCAGTGTTTGCACCTTTGAATCCCTTTTCCTGTTTCCCATTGCCACAGAGTTTAGCGAGTTGTGTGATTCTTTTTTTTTCTTTTTTTTTTCTATTTGAAAGCTGCCTTCTCCTCATTGGGGGACAGCCATATATTTTTCTCTCACCTCACATATTCTTAACTGGCATTCTGCCATGTCATGGAACATATCTTTCTTTCGCCACCTACCTACCACTACTCGTAAGGCTACACAGGGAAACCCTGCAAGCATAGCTTTCTTCCTCTCTTCAGTGAAGGGAGGTTACCTCAACTGGTGGAGAGATGTAACGGCATTTTGATAGCAGCTAACACAAGGCTAGCAACTAACACAAGGACCGAGCATTTGCCAGTAATTGTGCCTCCCTTTTCATCTTCCCCCACCCCCATCAAGTAACAGTAGTGTCTAAAGCCAACACTCTTCACACACCACACACAACCCACTCACGCGCGCTCTCACAACCGTGTTCGCTGAACGCAAGTGACATTCAGGAGGTTGTGGGTTCAATCCCCATGGCCACCTGTGGCACTCTTGGTGCCAACCAACTGAGATAGTCAGCTGGATCCTCCAGCACTCTCCGACATACCACATGCAACCCACTCACACATGCACTCACACCCGTGTTGGCTGCACGCAAGTGGCATTCAGTAGGTCGTGGGTTCAATTCCCATGGCCGCCTGTGGCACTCTTGGTGCCAACCAACTGAGATAGTCAGCTGGCTCCTCCCAGCCGGTATTAGTAAAGGTCTTCAGCCAACACGGCTGTGAGTGTGTTGCGTGTGGTTTGTGGGAGAGTGTTGGCTTTAGACACTACTGTTACTCGATGGGGGTGGGGGAAGATGAAAAGGGGGGCACAGTTACTGGCAAATGCTCTCGGTCCTTGTGTTGGCCAGGCCCCCACCAGCGGCCCCAACCCTATACCCTAAACGCTAGGCTAACACAAGGACCGAGCATTTGCCTGTAATTGTGCCTCCCTTTTCATCTTCCCCCACCGCCATTGAGTAACAGTAGTGTCTAAAGCCAACACTCTCCCACACACCACACACAACCCATTCACACGAGCACTCACACCTGTGTTGGCTGAAGAACTTTACTAATACCAGCTGGGAGGATCCAACTGATTATCTCAGTAGGTTGGCACCAGGAGTGCCACAGGCGGGGATTGAACCCATGGCCTCCCGAATGCCACTTGCGTGCCTAACCAATAGAGCTAGGTTGGTTGTATTGCAATGAACCCAGATCGTGAAGACACTTGTCAACAATGCAAGCCCAGATGAATATAAACCTGCTGATGATTATCAATAATCATAATCGTGTCCAGATAGAATGAGGTGGGAGAATCATTCACAGACGAAAAGAGAGATGAGGGAGAATAGACTTAGAGAGTGGAGAGACAATGCCCACTTCTGCCTCGGGCTTCCTCCTCGATCACCACCTCAAATAATCAATAGTCTGAACGTGCATCTGAAGTTCTACTACAATGTACCACGTGGCACGTCAATCAGTCCTCATCAGCGCACTGGAGCAATGTCGACCTCAAGATGACCAGGTACGTGTCCACGATTACCCCACAGTCATGATCTCCTCCTGAGTGACGATGAATCAGAACAGCAGTGCCAGTCACGTAGCCCAGCCACGTCAGCATAGTGCACGTGGCAGCGGCCACATCGGCAGCGAAGCGTGGCAGCTGCCACGACAGCATGCCCTGAAGACAATAGTCAGCCAGCCACCATGCGGAGCCAGCAGCGCGTCGCCCTAGTCACCCAAATGCCAGCGCAAAGCCAGCGTCCAGCCAGCGTCGCAGCGTCGAGCCAGCGTCGTCGTCAACATGTAAAGTCAGCATTGACGCAAGACTGAAAATGAATGTCAAAGTCAGGAAGTCAGCACTTATGTAGCGTTGACGCGGGGTTCTGGACCCCGGATGCTGCATCCCTCAGCCGTCAAGATCTTAGTTCAAATGACGGCCCAGATTGGCCTGAAACCGAATTCCCTCTGGCCTTGATGCTGTCTGGGTACCTGCGCACAACAAGTGAGTGTATCCGACCACGGGCCTGGGCGCGGTACCTTTCACCTGACAGTTGACTTAGACTTTTGACTTTCCTAGGGGCAGTGCGTGGTCACACTGCCTGGTGCAGGCCGAGTTTGGCCTGCATCGTCTGGGCTACGTTTCGAGGGCCCAGACTGCTGCAGAACACGGGTTACTGCAGTATGATTCCTTTTTTCATTTTTCTTTCTGAAATAGTGCAAGGATCTAGGCCTCACGGCCATGTTGAAAAAGGCCCTGCCCGCCCTCAGTGAAGGCTGGCCAGGAAAATTCAGGCCGGCCCTAAGTGAAGGTGGGTGTGAGGGCCCCAAGCCAGGCTGCAGGCCAGTGCCTGTAACTACCTGGTAGGCCCAACCACCAGGTTAGTAGAGAGGTTGGGCCTCGGGTGCACACCAGTAGGTCCAGGCCTTGCCTACTGGCCTGCCGGCTCTAGAAGTAGAGAGGTTGGGCCTCGGCTGCACAAGAGGAAGGGGCCGTGCAACCCAGGACATTCACACAGATGCTGCAAGTGTGAGCACTGCTGTGCTAGAGGAGTGCGGCGCCTGTGAGGAAGCTGCTGAGCTAGAGGACTGCAGCACCCGTCCATACATTGCTGCTGGACTATCCTATTTGGTCTATGAGGAAACAGTTCTTTGCCTAATTCTGTTAGCCAGCAGTTTCACGAGTACCTTATATATGACAGGGAGAAGTGTGATTGGTCTATATGACTCTATAGTTTCTGATCTTCAGTGGGACCCCATTTTTTTAGAGCAGGGTAACCACACCCGTGCTAATGTATTGGCCCAACCCCTCCTCCCATTCACTTTCATTTAAGAAGCCGAAGGCTTGCCAGAATCCTTTGACAGTCCATCTCTCCACAGCGTTTTGCTCGGCTGTAGCGATGCCAAGGCCTCCCTGACCTCTCCTTTTGTTATCAGTCTGTCAAGGAATTCCACTTGTTCCTGTGATATATTTTCTATCTAGGCAGGACAGGAATTTCTGTTTTGTCACTTTCACCAGCATCGGCAGGTAATCCCCTTCCTTCGACTTGTAGAGTTCCTGGAAGAATGCGGAGGCTATCTCCAACAGGTCTGTTGGCTGTGTGGCCACCCTTTGTGCACTATGTAGTTGACCGATCAACGTGGTCCTGGCATTTGTTTTGATCTTTTGGAAGAAGTATTTAGACATTCTTTCTCATTCCTCTAGTTTTTTTACCCTTGCCCTCAGCCTGATTCCATTACTTTTCCACCTCTTCCACTTTTAGACATTCTTTCTCGTTCCTCTAGTTCTTTTAACCTTGCCCTCAGCCTGATTCCATTACTCTTCCACCTCTTCCACTCAACCATCTATTGCCTCACCTTGAGCAAGGCTTCTCCGTATATTTGGTTCCCTGGTTGTGTTGTTAGTTTTTTTTCTGCCTTTTTCCAAAATGAAAGGAAATTCACTTGTACAAAGAATCCAGCCCAAGTGATGCACCTCCTTGGCAATCGACCACTTTCTAATCTCAGAGTCGTTAGCAGTGGTGCAAGCTTCAATTTTCAAGCCACCATACTATGGGGGGTTCGATCATAGCGAATAGGCGTCATTCTCACCTTTAGTGTTGATTATGTGCCTGGCAGAAGCTTCATTAAACCACCAGTACCTTTCCCCGCTTGAAAATCAAATATGCGTCGGTGGTGTATTCGGGACCAAGCGGGGTTCGGTACCACCGGACCGAAATGACTGGTGGTGCCAGCCAAAATGAGGCCCACGTTGGTTCATTTTTTTCGCGCAGAGTGATTTCAGGCTTGACATTGATAGCGGAGAAAGGTACTGGTGGTTTGAAGTTAAGATTTCCTTATTAACATTAGAAATACAAGTGGACCCACCGCAACGATGCTGCATCGCGCGGCGGGGAATTGTGAGAGGAATGGAGAATTTGCTGCAGAATGTAGGGAATGATACATGCACTGCACGTCGCAGGGTGTTCGATTGGAATGCATTTGTTTCGGAAGGGAAATCGAAGAGGAATGTGTACATGGTAGCATTTGTTTCAGAGTGTTTTTCTCAGTTTGTATGTGTCTCTTTCGCTTTGTCTGTTTTTATGCGTCTCTCTCTGTCTTTTTTTTTCTCTCTTGCTCTTTCTGTGCCTTCGCGAATTTGTTTGTGGAGTGAGCAGCCGATGTTCGGGGTGTCCGATGTACACGATCTTCGTCATTTGAGTATGTGCTGAAGGGAGTGAGAACACAAAGCAAAAACCATGTACAAAGAGAAGTCACACGTACACATGGATACAAAGTTAGAAGATATAGAGCGTTTGATGAGAATGTGTTTAGAAAGAAAAAGAAATTGGAGAGTGGGCGATAGGAATCCATTCATCAAGCAGGAGATGAAATCATTCACAGTTTAGAAGGTGGTGAACATTTAACATTTAGCGCGACTATATGTACATGAAGAAAGTGTTATAGTTGAATAATTTATTTATAGTCAATATGCATCCATAGTGCTGCACACTCTTTACTGTACACATGAGTATACGTACCGGGAAAAAGTCTTATAGTGGGAAAATTGTCTCTCTTGTCTATTTTTATTTCCCTCGTTCCGTCTATAGTGTCGGTTTTGTCCTAGTGGCCATGTATGTACGCTATCCACTATTCACCGGTTTCCCAACCAACAATTCTGGTAGCACCATGTCTTTTCCGATGAGCGATGTTCTCGGGCAAGCAGGCGATCATGTCTCTAATCTCGGAAATGTGGTCACGTTGATTGGTTATCGTGTAGGCGCTCAGCGTCCCTTGAGCTTGGAGAAGTGTGATGGCTCGACGAATGATGTTTGCCCTGAAAGTGGGAAATGGAGGGAGGGTATGTTGTGTTTCTTGATGGTGGATTGTTAAGGTATTCCCATGTGCGAGGCGGGTGGGGGATGTTGTAGATTTGGAAGGTATGGCGAGATGCGAGAAGGTCATGAATGAGGGCGGTGGATCTTGTTGCGCCCCATGGTACTAGCGGAAGCCACCAGAGGGGGTCAGCTTCATGAGGTGCATGGGGTTGTAATGGTGATTGGTGTGGTGGTGGAGCGTTTGCAATGAAAGAATGTTTATGGTGTGCAGTAGTGATACGCTCATATTGGTACTGGGGGCGAGGTGTTCTCGGAGAACGAATACAGCTGCAGTCATCGTTGATGAGCTTGAGGAGGAACGTTTTTGCACGCTGGAGTTGGATGTTAATGTTGGTGGAGGGGTCAGGGCATTGTAGAGATCGTATTCGGTTCTGTTTGTAGAGGGTGAAGAAATCGTAGAGGTGTGGTGAAAAGGCGGCGTGATGAGTTGCGAGGAAGTCCTCCCACAATATTTGGGTGATGATGTGTTCGATGTTGTCTTCGGTCAGTAACTGGAGCCAGTCATCCCATCTATGAGGAGTAGATGATGAAGTGGCAGGGTGGGCAATTGTGGAAGTGGCCAAAGGAATGGGTTGGGGATTTGTTGAAGGCAGGTGGGTAGTCGCGAGTGTTGTTGCGAGGTGGCGGGTGGAGGAGGCTGGAGGGGGTAGCAAAATTTGTGTGAGGATATCGTCATCGAGGCCAATTTGTGATAAAGCTGGCAACAATGTTTATGGTAAGGTAGTAGTGGCAGCAAGAAGAGTTGCTGTAGAAGCGGAAGCGGTGGTAGTTGCAAATGTTGATGTAGTTGCGCTTGTAGTCATTGTTGCAGGCAGCGTCGCAGGTTCGGGAGACGAAGTTGTTGATGATGACGACTTCAATTTTTTTGGCGACAGCTTGTCTCGGGGAAGACCTGCAGGGAAAGCGCAAAAAAGAATGTGGTTAAATGTCAAGACGGGTAATTTAGGTGAAAATTTCTTTATAGATTATATTAGTAGTTTGGTTAGTGTTTGCAGGGAGAGAGAAGCGAATGTGTGTTGGGTCACCTACCCTCGATGCAGCTACGTAAAGTTGGTCATGTGCAAATGGTGTCTGTTGGAGATCGATGCCAACATGTTTGGTTTATTGTCCCTGGGACTTATTTATAGTAATCGCAAAAGCAGGTCGAATTGGGAATTGGCGTCTTTGCCAAGGGAAAGGGTGAGTTTGATCAGTGACTGTTAGAAAAAATTGTGGGAGGAGAAAAGTTTGGAGTGAAGGGAGGATGTGTGCATGCAGAAGTCTGTTGTTTGTGATTGAATCGATTATTAATCGTGTGCCATTGCATAGACCGTTCCGCATGGCAATGTTTCGTAGGAGAATGACCGGTGCACCTTGTTTAATGATAAGGACATGGGGTGGCAGGGAGGGGATGTCAATTGTGTTAAGGGCATCAATAGGTACATCAGGGTAATTTTCATTGGGCAGGAGAGTGTCAGCGCTGAGGCATGTGATGAAATCTCCAGGGAATTGTTCTAGGATAATTGAATTGAGTGTAGATACAGTTCTACTTTTCGGGGCGAGAATGAGACGTTCAGCAATTCAAAGCGGATTGTTGGAATTTGTTTGCAAGCACGGGAAGTTATAAGTTGTTGTGTTCCTTGATATAGGCACAAATGAGGTGGGGGTTCGATTATGGGATGTTCAGTGCGGGGGGGAGGTGGAATATCACCGTTTCGGAGCGAAAGGAGTCATGCAGAGTATTCATGACCTTCAGGTGTATTAATCTGGGTTAGCACACGCATGTTTTTCGAGAGATGCATTGTTTCAAAATATGCCCAAAGTGTTGACGATTTTATGCAGGCATCGACAGTTTGTGCACGTGTTCCCTTTGTAATTACAGGTAGTATTTAACGAAAGTCGCCTGCAAGAACAATGATCTTACCACCAAAAATTAAAGTCGAGGAGCATATGTTACGAAGGGTTCAATCAAGTGCTTCGATATGAAAGTTTTGTATCATTGGCGCCTCGTCCCAAAGGATAACAGTAGCCATTCGTATTAGTTGTGCTAGTGCAGACAGTTTCGGAATATCAAGTGTGGAGGTTGCAGTTGGTGTAAGAGGTGCTTTGAATCGTGAGTGAAACGTTCGTTCGCCGTGTAATAGCGTTGCGCGATTCTGCTCGAAGCTACAACAAGTGCGACGCGATCCTGATTTCGAATATATGCGAGAATGGTATTGAAACAGAATGTTTTTCCTGTTCCTGCGGGGCCATCGACGAAAAGACATAGCGGTTTGTAATTACTAGTGGCATTTGTGACTCGAGTGAAGATAGCATGTTGGGACGGGCGAAGGAGCGACAAGTTTGTATCTAATGTTTTTTGTAGTGTTTCTTTGTGATAGGAAGTTTCATCTTCAATAATTTGCGGAATGTTACGACGATGGGGTCTTTCACCCAAAGCGTTTCCAGCATTTTGATCGTCGATGTGTGGGCGGATCAGGCCAACGTCTTCGAGTTGTTTTTCTTCTTTTTGCAGGCGGTTATCGATATCCAGAAGGACCATGGTTCTAATAAGGGGGAGATGAACATCCGCATCATGAAGGTCTCTTTGAAAGTCGCCAATCGTTTGCTGCCAGTGTTTTTCAAATAGTTCGGTAGGATCAACTGGTGCACAATGCAAAAGTATGTGGACTAACAAATCCCGAACCATCGCAGAGCATGCAGCAAAGATTGCATCTTGTAAGACAGCATCAAATTGAGTATTATCATTGAGTAGGCCTAATGCACGACACGTTGAGTGATATGTCGCGTGAATTTCGTCATCGACAGTACGTAGGTTCTCAAACGATGTGGCTCCTCGGGAATGGGGTGACAAAAGAAGCATTCAGAGATAAAAAGTATCACCTGCGTTTGAAAACACGAGCGAGGAGGTCTGGTCTATCGGACGGTTGTTGATGAGGAAAGAGATGTTGTTCAATTTGTAGCCAGTGCGAATTGCAAGTTATTGTGATAAAAAGATTTGGGGACCGTATTCTTGGACTGGTGCCATAGAATCTTGATATCACCGATGCATGTCTCTCGGGCCGCCGACAAATGTGGCATGTAAAATAATACGTTGCCCGACATTTTCAGCGTTATCGTATTGCATAAGGTGGCCATGAATATTCTGATAGAGTTCAGCGCGAATTTCGGTTTGATGGAGCCTATTATATAATAATCGGCAGTTTTCTATCTTTGCGAATGCCATGCATACATATTTTTGGAATAATCGTGAGGCTCGAAATATCGTTGTCCTTTCGGTGCCTCGGGTGTTAAGGTGGAAGGCGTAAAACTCTCGTGCGGTGATTTCTTACATGGAAGAATTTTCTTCATTATGAGTTTCGAGAGCCCAACCATCTTCACCTGATGGGAATAAGAGAACGTAATGTAGAGGATCGAAAGCGCGGTTGGTTTCGTGAATTTTGACAATACCTCCACCGCATCGGTGTATGACAATGTCGCGATTGGATGCTTGGTCGTGCATAAGTAGACAAAGTTCCAAAAAACATTAAGGTCTATTGTATCTTCGTTCATGTTCGTCAATTGGTCGCGCATCGGGATTGATTACAGTATGTTGCTCGCGAATCATACGTTGGGAAGTTCGGAAAATGTTATGAAATCTCGCACCCAACGACTACATTCAATAAGGAGGTGGTGGAGCTTTCGCAAAAGATGTTTAATTTGTTGGACCGTTGCAAGCGGGATTTTGAGTGGGAGGTTGAATCTAGTTAATCGTATGACAGTAGCATCATGTTCATCCTGCGGGTCGTATATGCATAGCTGGGCGGCGCTCATGGCCAACATCCGGCATAAGTGGTTCTCGACGTTTTGCCGAAGTTGACCAACAATTCTCACCATTCCAATCCAAATTCCTGGAGGAGGTTGTGGTTCTCGGACAACTTGTGATGCAAGTGCAAGTGCATTATTGAATTGGCGTGCACGCGATCGCAGCAACCGTCCTTGTGGAATGTCAATTTTCCATAAACGAAGGATTTGGTCATCAGGTGTGCCGGCTGGTGGGTATTGCCGGAGCGGCGGATGCACTTTGCCTGTTCGGCAACAAAGAGTTGTCCAGGTGTGCTCGTGCGGCCATTTCTCCGCACCACAATGTGCGCATTGTGTTCTATATCCGATAACACATATATCAATTGGTATATCTCGTTGAATAATTGATGCGGAATGTTCTCTCGCACTGTTTCGTCGGGTGGGAAAGTGGTCAAATGTGTGACTGTCTGTATTGGCGGCAACGTTCAGCGTTCGCAATTCGAGCTCTTCACGCGGCAGCGCATGATGATTCGCCTGTGGAGAGGACATGAAACGGGGGCAAAGATAACAGTCATGCAAGGCACATGGAAAACAGAAAACAAAGTGACATGATAGGATTGTGAGCAAACGGAGCCAACACATAAAACACACATGTGTCACTTAGAATCCTGGAGCATAGAGTGAGCGAGAGTTCGATTTTTGTTTCCAGTAAAATGGGGAAAAAGAAAAAGACAAAAAGGGCCATTAGCCCGGGGCTTTCATGATCCTTGCATGGCCACGCCATGCAGGACTTGGCTTGATTGTTCTTCGGTCGGTCGAAATAGATGAAGAGGCCGCCGTGATGGTTTTTGTTTTTTCTTTTTTTTTATAATTTTGGGCAACGAAATATGTAAGAGATACTAAAGCGACGTCAACCTCTGAGGGTGCCTTTTCGTTTAAAAAAAAGGGAAAAAAAAGAAAAAAAACTTCTCATGTGAGACGTGGGTGGGTCGTTTGTTCTTTGTTGGGTTGACATAAAAGAGAATGTGGTGCTGGGCAATGGACCGTGGATGACATATTGAGATATTAAACTGATGCGAAGCCGTGAGCATGTCATGTGGGAGGGATCCGGCAACCGGTCGAGGGATATGTGGTGTGGGACACACATTTCTCTTTTTTTTTTTCCAAAAACAACAACAACAACAACAAACGGTTGCATCTTGCCAGAGAAACAGGAAGGTCCGAATTTATTATAAAAAAAAGGGAAAAAAGAGATTTGGCCAAGGGATATGTGGTGTGGGACACACATTTCTCTTTTTTTTTTTCCAAAAACAACAACAACAACAACAAACGGTTGCATCTTGCCAGAGAAACAGGAAGGTCCGAATTTATTATAAAAAAAAGGGAAAAAAGAGATTTGGCCAAGGGATATGTGGTGTGGGACACATTTCTCACCTTTTTTTTTCCAAAAAAACAAAAACAAAAACAAACAGACAGTTGCATTTTGCGAGAGAAACAGGAAAGATTCTTCCGTAATTCTACGGGCTTTTTTTCTTTTTTTGGGGGGGGGAGGGGGGGGCGGGCCCTTTCTCTCGCACTGAATTTCTATTGTCTTGATCATTTCACGACATATTCATATTAGTACTTTCCTGAATGTGTCTGACAGCAATCACGGCCGGAAGCAGCATCGAGTTTCCTCAATACCCGTATATGGATGTGTTTGCTTGCGGATATGTGCAGAAACGACGTTGAGTGTCCTGAAAGCCATATCTCCACAAACACGTCCAGATTCAGGCGTTGGGACTTCGCCCCTGGCCGTGGTCCCACTACCATAGCAAAGAGGATCCAATTGAGAGCGATTCAGCCAGCTTGATCCAATCCTCTTTGTTGGTGAGATCTCACCCCACCTGCAATTTATTTATTTATTACTTCATACTTACGGAATTTATAAGATCAAGAAAAAAAATTG